CGTCATGAGGCGGTCTTGGGACAGCGGAGGCTTGTTATCCTTGATGAGCTCTTTCATTCGGAGGTAGGGCTGCTTCAGTGCCTCCATGTCAAATTGTTCAGGGCCCTGAGGTCCCATGGCCGGCGCGAAGAGGTTGTTCTGCCATGCCTCTTGCAGGGCCGGGGTCCATAGTGAAAAGGACGCCACTTCAATGGGCTTGAGGGCCTTGCGTCGGTCTCTGAACTCTGTGTCCAGAGCCTTGTTGGCGGCCGCCGCTTTCTCCTGTGTGGTCTGTGCCGCCACCAAAGCCTCGTAAGAGGAGGTGAGACCACTTTCTTCATGTTTTCTTTTGAGGTAGGACCGAAACTGCTGGAGGTCAGCGTGGCGGAGCATCTTGGCACTGACCGGATTCTGGGTTTCCTGTGCCCCCTGCTGGATGGCAGTCAGTGTATGCAGCTCATCTTCCATCGCCACAGTCTCTTGCTGGTGTTGAATCTCCTTCTTCCTCCTCTTGGCCTCCTGTGCCGCTTCCGTAAGCTCTTCTTCTGGTGTTGCCAGCAAGTCCACCTTGAAGCGCATCAGTTCAATGGTCTTCGGATGAAAGATCACAGCAGTTTGAGTAGAGTCTCTATCATCCATAGTAGGAGGGCGTTCGCCATCTGGATGAAAGATCTCGTCCTGCCCGAAGGCCACCACGTGCTGCTGCAGTGTCATGCGCTGGGAGGCAGGAACTTGCTCCGAAAAGCTGACCAGCCCCGTACCGGCGCCCGAAGCTGCCGCAGGGGGAGGTCGGCCAAGATCTCCCACTTCCACAAAGCCTGAGTCCTTAGTAACCTTAGTATCTGTGGGAACCCAAGTCGGTCCCGCCTCAGTGAGCCTAAGTTGCCAGGACTGGCCGGCCACCTCAATCACTGACAAAGGTGTCATTGACAGGTCAACAGGCTGAGAGCCTTGACAAAGCAAACATTTGGATAACTGTCCCCACGGTGCATTGCAATCAGAACAAACTAATTGCGGAGAAGTTCCAGGGTCCTTCTCTTTCAAATTCACCATGGATCCCCCACGCTGCGTGGTGTGCCGGAGTTTCAACATCTGTGTGTGGACAGCCTCGCGCTTCGAAATGTGGTACACCTCTGCGATCTTGACCACCAAGGATGCCGTCCACGGAGAACTGCGGAAAGCATCCAAAAGGGAACGCAGCTCACCATGCGTAATGTCTCTGAAGTACTTGGCAGCCGAGTGAGGCAGGGCTGGAATCAAAGGTGCCCAGCCTTCGATGGTGAAGGTCTCTGTGGTCGGATCCATGTGGAGTGTCAACGTCTCCTTCTCTAAGACCCGTGATGTCTGGGTCGGAATCTGTGCCTCTGCATGGACGAAACCCGACGGAGGTTGCCCACTTGACGCTTCCACACTTGTCTCCGGCTTGGGTTCCAAGCCCAAGTTTGCCATCACTTTCTCCATCTCATGGAGCTGCGAAGCCAGAGTCTCCCTGGTGATGGCGGGATCATCTTCAATCTCTGTAATAACCTCGGCCGGCGCAGCCTCGGTCACCTGGGTGGAAAGCACCATGTAATCGTCCCCTGCGTCCAAATCTGTCCCAATCAGCGAGAAAGAGCCCACGGTGCCAGTCTCACTAGCCACTGGACTAGAAGCCGCCATGGCCAAAGAAAAGGATCGGAACGTGTTTTTCGAAAGTATTGGATCGCAGGGGGAACAGCTTGAGCCAAAATGGCATAGCCATTTTGGCAACTATATCGTCAACACATTACTTGCTCTCCACAAGTTCCAAGCAAAGAAACAAATGTCCCTTTTTTTTTTGGCACCGGCACAGGCCTCCTTTGGGACTCGATGCTGGAAATGTTTTTGGTATGTAGGTATGTAGGTATGTAGGTATGTAGGTATGTAGGTATGTAGGTATGTAGGTATGTAGGTATGTATGTCTGTATGTCTGTATGTCTGTATGTATGAATGCATGTATGTATGCATGCATGCCTGCATGTATGGATGTATGTATGTATGTATGTGCGTGTGTGTCTGTATGTATGTATGTATGTATGCATGTATGTATGTATGCACGTATGTATGCGTGCACGTATGTATGCATGCACGTATATATGCATGCATGCATGCATGCATGCATGTATGTATATATGCATGTATGTATGTATGTATGCATGCATGCATGTATGTATGTATGTATGCATGTATGCATGTATGCATGTATGCATGTATGCATGTATGCATGTATGCATGTATGCATGTGTGTGTATGTATGCATGTATGCATGCATGTATGTGTGTGTATGTATGCATGCATGTATGCATGCATGTATGTATGCATGCATGTATGCATGTATGCATGCATGCATGTATGTGTGTGTGTCTGTATGTATGCATGTGTGTGTATGTATGCATGTATGCATGTATGCATGCATGCATGTATGTATGCATGCATGCATGTATGTGTGTGTGTGTGTATGCATGTATGCATGTATGCATGCATGCATGCATGCATGCATGCATGTATGTGTGTGTGTATGCATGTATGCATGTATGCATGCATGCATGCATGCATGCATGCATGTGTGTGTATGTATGCATGTATGCATGTATGCATGCATGCATGTATGTGTGTGTGTCTGTATGTATGCATGGATGGATGGATGTATGTATATGTATATGTATATGTATATGTATATGTGTATGTGTATGTGTATGTGTGTGTGTATGTATGCATGTATGCATGTATGCATGCATGCATGTATGTGTGTGTGTCTGTATGTATGCATGTGTGTGTGTATGTATGCATGTATGCATGTATGCATGCATGCATGTATGTGTGTGTGTCTGTATGTATGCATGTGTGTGTGTATGTATGCATGTATGCATGTATGCATGCATGCATGTATGTGTGTGTGTCTGTATGTATGCATGTGTGTGTGTATGTATGCATGTATGCATGTATGCATGCATGCATGTATGTGTGTGTGTGTCTGTATGTATGCATGTGTGTGTATGTATGCATGTATGCATGTATGCATGCATGCATGTATGTGTGTGTGTGTGTCTGTATGTATGTATGTGTGTGTATGTATGCATGTATGCATGTATGCATGCATGCATGTATGTGTGTGTCTGTATGTATGCATGTGTGTGTATGTATGCATGTATGCATGTATGCATGCATGCATGTATGTGTGTGTGTCTGTATGTATGCATGTGTGTGTATGTATGCATGTATGCATGTATGTGTGTGTGTGTCTGTATGTATGCATGTGTGTGTGTATGTATGCATGTATGCATGTATGCATGCATGTGTGTGTGTCTGTATGTATGCATGTGTGTGTATGTATGCATGTATGCATGTATGCATGCATGTGTGTGTGTGTGTCTGTATGTATGCATGTGTGTGTATGTATGCATGTATGCATGTATGCATGCATGTGTGTGTGTGTCTGTATGTATGCATGTGTGTGTATGTATGCATGTATGCATGTGTGCATGCATGTGTGTGTGTCTGTATGTATGCATGTGTGTGTATGTATGCATGTATGCATGTATGCATGCATGCATGTATGTGTGTGTGTCTGTATGTATGTATGTATGTATGTATGTATGTATGTATGTATGTATGTATGTATGTATGTATGTATGTATGTATGTATGTATGTATGTATGTATGAACGCATGGGGCATCATCTGGGGACCCATCCCATGCGGACCCATCCCATTGGGGGGGGTGGGAACACGGGACACGGAACCATATATATATATGTGTGTGTGTGCGTACATATATGACTACTACAAATTGGGATACTGACTGGACAAAGTGGAATCTCGTCACCATCGGAACATCATTTTTTCGGTGGCAACCCCAACATCCCCAACCCATGATCATCCCCAGTTGCAGCTTCATTGGGATTGGGTTTACCATGGTTTACCACATTCATTCCAATCAGCAAGTGACTCATCACCCATATATGAGTGGAGTTCTTTCATCCCATACATAACTGGGGTGATAGCCATGGCTGTGGTTCGTCCTCCTCATCAAAGCCCAGCAGGAAGAACTTGTCCCTTCGCAAGGGGTTGGCCGGACATGGCCGGATGCCGCGGATAAATAATAAATAAATAAATAAATATTAATATATATAAGTAAATAAATAAGGGAATAAATGAATAAATGGTGGCGCCCACTAAGTTAACCCAATAAAATCATGTTGGGAGCCCCTAGTCTGCAAGATTGGCAGGTTCCATGTTGTAGCTTCTCCACTTGTGATCCTGAGGTTGCAATTTGCAGGAAGCAGGTCCAAAAGGGTCACTACACTGACCCACGTCAGGCCAAGAACTTGTGTATAAAACACTGTCCATCAGAATTATGCCCCACGTGTGCAACTCCCACGCCCAGCACCGGGCCGCATCTATCTACCTATCTGCCTTATGCATATCTACCTATCTACAAAGACAAATGCCGACTATTCTCAGCCCTCTTCACTGACAGAGAATCTTGTGCCTGCACTCCGGGATTTCGAAGGCTGCATCAAATTCCTGGCCATCGGCTGACCCTGTATCTAGTCCAAGAACTGAGGTTGGAATGTTGGACCAAGAAAATAAACTAGTCTGTCTGGCAGACGGGAAAGGGATTAGATTATATAGATTGTATTTTTTTGGGCACGCGGTCACCGACTAGAATGAAATATTCGCATGCTCCCACATTCCCCATCCTCAAATCGAGGCCTGTATCCCACCAGTCAGTTTGAACAATTGATGGTATTTCCATCCAACAGCATAAACAATCAAGTAATGGATCGCTTGTCTTTTTTCTCGGATTCACTATGTTCTACTGATCCTTCAAGGGAGTGTCATGCAATTCCGCTTTGTCACGTCCCTTGGTGTCCCGCTTTGGCCAGAAGACTTTGACGCGTCTTCCAGAAAGTGTCAAGTTTCGGGCGCCCCAACCAGTTTGTCATCGTTTTGTCCACGCATTCCTTTCGAAAAGTGAAAGGTCCTGTTGGGGGCCCAGCATCATATCCCAGCCCGGATTCTTCCCGTCCCTGCATTGCTGCATCCGGAAAGCCTAACCTCGGTGGTCACCAGGCCACTACCATCTTCGTCCAAGACTTCAAAGATCCTCCTGAGAGCAGATGGCCCTGGAACATCTGGAACCCTGGATTTGTCGGACACAAACATCCAAGGCAACTGGACCAAGTAAGATTCGAAAGGGAGAAGTATGCAACCTGGGAACCAAAAGCCCAACGAAGAAAGCCCTGGGTGAAAGAAAACTCACAGCAATCTCACAGGATATCACAGGTATTCACAGATTTCGCAAAGGATTTCAAGGATTTCACCAAGGTTCTTGAGATCTTTCATGTTCCGCTTTTCTTCCTGGCGCATCTCAAAGAGTCGTTCAGCCTCGTTGTCATTCACGATTTGCTGTGCCTTGTCACCTCGCTGCCATCGCGATTGATCTTGCAGCGACCGGACAATACTGAGAAAAGGAAAAAACAAACAGAGAGAGAGAGAGAGGGAGAAAAAAATGAAAATGTATATATAGCTTTCTGACTCTCTCTCTCTCTCTCTCTCTCTCCCCATCGCCATCTCGGAGAGTTCAACAGAAGCTGAAGGCGAGCAGGTGGCAAATGCATAGCTTTGCTTTGGTCTGTTTTTTTGCATTTTTTACGAGCACCCATGTACTTACTTAAAGTTCATTCACATCCCCCACTGGGATGTTGGGTGCCATGATGCCATGCAGGTCCCCCGAAAACATCTTGCGTCCATGCAGCAGATGACCGCGGTCACAAGGTTCAGAATGACATAGGCGGAGATCGCCTCGAGATTTGGCTTCTTACAAGGTGTGATATAACGAGGATATAATCAACCAGAAGTGGCGTGCGCTTCGAACTCTTTACAAAATTTGTCCGAATAAGGTCCAAACAAAAACCACATTCTAGACAGAATGTTCCTGGGTTAGGATGTTTATCAACATCATTTTGTGGTTCCTTGGAATTGAGGCATACCCATCATCTCTGATAAGGAAAAATCGGCGTTCTGGCATATTTTCACCAGTTGGCCATGAAGAGGAAACAGTAGATCCAAATGTAGGGTTGCTGTTCTTGCAGTTCCTCGATGAAGTCCACCGCGTTGTCACCTGGGGCGCCCATGCCCTGGTAGCGGCAAACATGTGACGGTTGGTGACCCCTACTGAAGATGCCCAAAATGCTTAGGATCCCGAATCCTACCCAGGTGAGAATCTCTCCCAAATTGTGGCAATTATTGCCAAGAATTTCTGGAACAATACCTTGGATCCTGGTGCTGAAAACGCTGTGAATACAGAACATGCTGGCAAATGGGCTGAGAAAAACAAATGGACACGTACACTTGAAACCAGCAACTTGGGTTTTAGGTTTCACCGAAGCCACCACAAAATTCCCGATTTTTCCCTGCAACTGTCACCTTTTTGGGGGGATGAAGCACCTACTTACATAACTGCAACAATGTCATCTTTCACCAAGCCCAGGTGCTAAAAATGAAGCGTGACATCGTCATACTCGCCTGCAAAACCACAAAATGTCAAACACGTGGCAAACTAGCAAGACCTGGGATATGTATGTAATGTAATGTAATGTAATGTAATGCAATGCAATGGTATTGTATGGTATTGTACGGTATTGTATGGTATTGTATGGTATTGTATGGTATTGTATGGTATGGTATGGTATTGTATGGTATGGTATTGTATGGTATGGTATTGTATGTACGTACGTACGTACGTACGTACGTAGATTTGTAGGTAGGTAGGTAGGTAGGTAGGTAGGTATGCATGCATGCAATGTGGCTAAGCCAAGAATGAACTTATTGCTTCTACTTGTAAAACCCTCAAATGGTCACATGTAACAATCCTGGCTCAAAGTGGTTTTGCCTCATTACTGTCGTTTTGGATGGGACTCATCACAGTATATCGCGGGAGGCATAACGGTTTGCCCAATGTGACCCGTAAAATCCCATTCATCATCATTTGTTCCACAAAAATTGCTGAAGTTGCGTGGTAAATCCCCCACCCATAAAAATCCCACAATAAGTAGTTGTAACACTGTATGACCCTCTAGAAACATCTATGAAAAGCTCATAAGTTGGCGCCAACAATTATATTATATCCGTCATAGACTTTATATAGACATATAATCCCTTCCTCCTAATACTAAACGTCCCCCTAATACTAAAAACAGGCATCCATCTCCAATTTCCGAAAATTTCAGTTTGGCCAATTTGACTTTTAATTGATCCCCTTTAAAAACAATTTAAAAATCAACCTACCATTTGTGGGTTCTCCCCCCTAATACTAAAAACTAGTTCACCCCGGGGTGTTTAGTATTAGGGGGGCCTAGTCCCAATCCCTCACTCCAAGCTGCCTGGCTACTCTAGCAATTAGGGGTAAGCTTCGAACTGCCATTTTGGGCAATATTTTAATTGCGTTATATAAGGAAATTTAATTGATTTTGAGATCGGAAAAAATAGTTTTTAGCATTAAGGGTTTTAATTTAGTATTAGGGGTAAGCTTCGAACTGCCATTTTTGGCAATATTTTAATTGCGTTATATAAGGAAATTTAATTGATTTTGAGATCGGAAAAAATAGTTTTTAGTATTAAGGGTTTTAATTTAGTATTAGGGGTAAGCTTCGAACTGCCATTTTTGGCAATATTTTGGTTCCCTAATAATAAATACCCCCCTAATACTAAAAACTACTTGCCGTGTTTTGTATTAGGGGGGGAGGGGGGGGGGTTTAGTATTAGGAGGAAGGGATTATAGACCCTATAAACTCATATACAAACCACATATAAACTGTATAATCAAAGCTTAAAGCCCGGTTAGATCACCTGGACATTCCCTAGCGCCTGAATCAAACCATTCTGGACGTACCAGGCAGCCGTGCCCGAAGCAGCGAGTCCCCAAGCTTCATCGCGTCCTAAAAATGGCAGCTGGGGGTAGAAAAATGTCTGTGTTTGTGTGTGACTAGAGGTACTATATGGTACTATCAAATGGGGAAGCATGGTGATTGCCCCAAAAATTGGGAGAATTGGGGTTATCTGATGAAATTGCTGTGAATCAAGAAGTATCTTTTTAGCTCCCATCGTAGGGGTTCCTGCCGAATTCCCTTCAATCAATTCTGATCTGCCGGTCATGCAATCCGATTCTGGGCAACTGAGTTTATAACCCAGTTCTAAATTGGATGTTTTGGTTTACTAGTGTCCACTTATAAAATCTATTCGGGCTAATGCCAGTTTCTCAGACACGAGTCCGTTCAGAGTTTTAATGCGTGATGTGACTGTATAACCCCTACTTCAGACAGCAACTGGTAGAACCAGATCATTCATTTTTTTTCATTTGCTGCTGAAAAGGATCTGTTCCTTGCTGCCATGCATGCTCCGCCTTGCGAGCAAAATCTAATTATGGGTACAAAAGCTTATCCCTGAAAGTCTGGCATCCAATGTGCAGTAGCTCGGATGACTTTACAAGATGCAAGAGCGTCCTGCAACCATGCTTCAGACTCAGGGGTTGCCATATTTGAGATGGAGAAAGAAACCCTACGGGCCGCCAATGCGAATTGATCGGCAAGCACCCCCGCCAAAGCGTTCGAAAAAGCAGCTGGGTATTCTTTGAGGACAGCAGTTCTGAATTCTCCTGTCACCTCATCTCGTCCAATGGCAACTTTCTGCGGTTTCTCTGCATTAGGGAGTTGTCTCTTGTGCATGGAGGAGAGGAATGATGGGCAATTGATAGCCAATATTCCTGTCGGTTTTGATGCTGAAGCCCCCCATCTCCATTGGCATACTCGGTGCAGCTTCACTTGAGGTAGCTGCAACAGCAACTTGACCCATGGCGAGGTCCAGATACTGACTTTCTGCTCATCTTCTGGCATCCATGGATGTTCACTCAAATACAAACTGCCAAAACGTAATGACCATGCCGCAGCAAAAATACCCTGAAAGAAGAATTCAGAACCTTGAGCCACCTGGCGAAGTTCCCGGAATGTAAGGCCCGGAAGTCCCAGGAATCTATCAGTGCTTCGCAGTGGGCGCGGCCACTTCTGAGCATCTGCTTCTGAAATCCCTTCAGGTTTATGGTGTCTGGCAGCTGAAAACGTTTCGCAGGGTGCTCCGCAAATAGTCGCTGAAACTCGACCAGATCTATAAAGATTGGTTAAGTGCTTCCAAGTGCTGCGCCCATATTGCAAGTTACCAAAGTGGACAGAAACTGCAGCGTCAAGGGATAAAATTTGGACCTTAAATCCCATCTGGTTAGCAAAGGTTTCAAGGCACGCATGGATATCCGGGCTGCGCCTACGCCCACTGAAAAGGTGAACTACCAAAAAAACCGGTCTCACAGTGATGGCCTCAACTGTGGCAGGAATTACCTTCTCCTCCGGTATGCTGTCAAACTTGATCTTCCGAATTTTTTGCAGCCATAAATCATGTTCATTGAACCTTTCTGGAATATGAAGTGCCGAAGAGATACGTTCCTTCGCATTCGCTGATCCCCGCTTGACTGTCCGGTGTGGGAACAACACATGTTGTTCCGTCTCCAATCTACGGATTTTCTGCCGCAAGAACGTGATTTCAGTCAACAGCTGCATTCGTGGGAAGTCATAGATCATGTCTGTAAAAGCCTGCTCAATCAGCATCTCAGCTTCTCCATCTATGAGTTCGGCAAGGACATCTGGCATGACTTTTTCCCCCCAACTTATATAGACTGATTCAAGCCAGTTGCCATAGCGGGGGTCTTGGTCTGCACTCTGGTCCAACCATGCATCAGGTAGCTCCTTGATGGTGTCAGCATCAAAGCCACCATCTTGGAATCGTTGAAACCACAATTGTGTTTGTGCCGTGAGTCTTTGCCAGAATAGATTTTGGTGTTGCTCCGAATCATCTGGTACCTGCTCAATATGCAACTGATTCTCACACTGCGCCAGTTTAGCTAGGGCGCTCCTGAGATCTCTCTCTCTGCTATCTTTGAATAGGGGTAATGGCCCCATAGCCTGGAGGGCTTCAGTGCGATGCAGACCTGCCAATTTGTCGCCCACTACAGTGGAGCACTCATCTGTCACTTGAAAACCACTTCTTTGCAATGACTGGAAGCAATGATTGACCTGTCCTTTTCTGGGGATATACGCCAGATGTTGATATAACCTCTGTCTCGTCCACAAGAATTTCAGACAGCAGGGACAAGTTGCCCCGTCAATGAGGTGTTTTTCCCTGGCCCCAATGTTATGAGCCAGCCTCTTGTGCGAAGCAAGTCCCTGAGGGGTAGTGAATGTGCGATTGCAGAAACAAACATATTCATGCTTCGTTGCGTCATCAACAGTGGTGTCATCAAGAAATGTGGCTTGGTCCTTGAGAATTTGGAAAAACTGGGTGTGCATCCTATGCATCTGATGCATAATCCCTTCCTGACGGAGGTGGCGTTGCAGCGCAGTCTTGATTCTCTTCTGCCATTCTCTATGTCCTCTCTGCCAATAATCAAAGAGATCAGTGAGATCATCAGTATTAACAGGGGGCTGGTACGGCATGTGAGGCTCAAGCTTTTGCAACCATTCCAAATCTGCAAGGAGACCATGCATCCATGAGTTGGGGCAAAGGGCATGTTCACGGTGTAGCATGTGCTGCAGTTCCGCAGGTCCATGTTCCCACAACCGTTGTGCATACAACAGCCTATCAACTGCATGTCTGACGCGAGGTTCTGGTTGGCGTGCTCGCTTGAGGATTTCTGCAGCAGGAATGGATGCTACTTCATCTGGCTTCAGCCTAAGAACCTTGCGTAACAATCTGAGCAGGAAGGCACGTAACTTGGCGCATTGTCTATAGGTTGGCGTTTGCCAGGCGCCAAGACCAAAGAACAATTTAGTTCCGATGAGGGAATGAAACAACTGGATTCGGGTACTTTCAGGGAGATGCCTGTTGCAAAGGATGGGTTTCGCAATTTGTCCAAATGCGGCTTGAGCAAGACCCATTCTTTGCTGCATTTCAACCTCCAGGTTGTGATTGGCAGCAAACGTCGTACCCAAATGCTTGTAGCTTGGAACATAGTGAAGAAAAATCTGCTTCTCTCCCCCTTCAAGCATGAAGCTGTCACCCGGTTTGGCATTGAGTTGGTACATCTGCCTCATCTGTGGGGCACCACTCCCACGAAAAGTGACAACTGCACTAGTCTTGCCCTTCTCCAGGTTAAGTAGGAATCCGTACTTCTCGAACAGTTGCAGCACAAATTGTAAGATTCTACGTAGTTCCTTGGGCATATCCGCCGCTCTGGTGGTTGCCCAAGGGATTGCAAGATCGTCCGCCCATGCCACGAAGCCACCTGGAATGTCATATTCAGCAAGAATACGTTGAAAATCTTCTTGTCTATGAATCCATTCATGGAGCTGGTGTAAGATGTCGGCCATCAGGATGTGAAAGACGCAGTCCGCAAGCGGGCTTCCTGGTCTTGTGCCTCGTTTGGTGTTGGCAAATCGTCTGCTACCAATGGTCATCCAAGTGCTAGCATGTATGTCCTTCATGAGTTGAATCAGGAAGGGAGGTGCGCGCAGGGTTTCAAGCAACGAAGGCATGTGAATGCGTTCACACATTTCAGCCACATCCAACCCTTCCTGTTCCAAGGCTTGGAAAACAGCAAGCAAATCAGCTGGCACGTGCACTCCAGAAACCCATTCTCGGACAAGCCTATGAAAAGCAGTTGCCAAGTCCAGAAATAACACTGCTGACGTGAGCTTCAGTGTATCCATGATACGTCCGAAAACTTGTAGGGACTGCGATCCATACATGACTTGTTGGTGGCTAAAGCCTCCCAGCTGACCTGGTGGTCGTTGGCGCTCCAGCAATTGCATGAGTTGCGTCCGTAGCAAGGCATGTACCCGTTTGGTGAAGGTAGGCAAGAGCATGATACCACGGTAATTGCTAGCAACAAGGTGGTTGCCTTTCTTGTGGATAACTGCCAGGGGTCCACCTTTACCTGCGAATGGTTCTTGTTGCCAAACCATCATTTTGAGCAACAAGGGAAAAAATGCCTCAGCCAGATCACACGCATGGTTACGAAAAAGCACTGAAGGCAACTGATCATAGCCTGTGGCCTTATGCGGTTTTGTCTGTCTGAGCACATCTTCAAGTTGCATCAATGAGGGAAGTTCTGCTATATCGAAATGCAGCTGCGCTGGTGCTGTTTGTTTTTGTCTTTCATGACATTCGTGTAACAGTTCTGCAGGATGTATCTGTTCACCTACTTCAAGCTGTGTGAAGTGGGGCATCCATTGATCCTCCAGAGGTTCGATGCTCAATGGATCAAATCCCCGTCTTCTTTGGCGAAATCTGGGCAAGCTTCTTCGCAAGACTTGCCAAAATTGCCTAGTTTCGGAAGGGCCAAGCCACCTAGAGCTTTCTTGTGCAAGGTTCTGATAGAACACAATGTCATCCCTTCTGGTGGCTCGCGTGACCTGAATCCCCAGGGTGCGGAAATTGTAAAGTGCAACCGCAACATCTCGGTCCAATTGTTTCAGAATTGCATCAAAAGAATGGGTTTCCTGCTTGAAACATATCCCATGGATGCCATGCCGCCAGGCAGCTAGAAGCAGATGTAGGGTAGTACGTGTTTGGAGTCGTTGACATCTTGCCAAATTGGACCTCCACTTCTTCTTAGCACATACTAGCTCCCATGTGGTAGAGGTCATGTGCGTTTTCTGCGGCTTCCGAAAGTTCAGAGGTTCAACCGATCTAGTACATGAAGCAAGCGAGTCTTGGAGGATACCAAAATGGGTGTGGACATCAATTGCACTCTGGTTGGTCGGATCTGCAAGCAAAGACTTGATTGCATTTGGGCAGATCTGGGAAGGACATGCTTTAACCCTTTGTGTTTGGAGGTCCTGTGATCTGGTTGCTGCTGGCCATCTCAAAAGTGCTCGTGCAGGTCGGTGATCATCTTTGGTGAGTGAAAAATCAATTTCAATATCTGTCCAAGAGAGACACTGCGTAAGTGGCCATTCAAACGGAACCCCAATGAGATCATTCCGTGTCCAGGTGCCATTTGGGTGTTTCCATGTACCTGATGGCCCCTCATGCAAATCAACAAATGTGGCTGGCAAAAACAAATGCTGCTGTGCAACAAATTGACAAAATGCATCACTCTTTGGACAGGACCTCTCAGCGTCATGTGGTCCGATGTGGTTGTTAGGTGAGTCACCTACTCGGCTATTTGCATCTGCTAGAAGCAGTTTTGGCCAACTATTGTATTTGGAGCCAATGTGTCTATCAATTCGCTGCCAATAGTCCTCAATATCTTCAATTGTTGCTCCGGTATGTGGTGCGTGTGCAGCAACAATAATGACTTTGAGGAATTCATTGCAGACTCGTAGAATCAGCAGTCGCGGCTCCGCAACAATGACAGCAATTTGTGACTCATCAAACCAACCTTGATCATGCGGCCTGCCATTATCCTGAAATGCAAATGCCTGGGTCTTTGCAATTCCAACCATGATGACAAAATGGCCTCGTTCATTAGCAGGTGCGTGAAATAAGATAAAGTCTTCATGCCTCAATTTCACGTCAGTTCTCAATCGGGTTTCTTGGAAGGCAAATACCGAAATTTCTGCCTGTTTCAATTGTCTCAACATGATTTGCAATCTGGTGGGTCCCCCGGCCCCCCATGCTTCCATCTGTTGTGGCCCTGGAAGTAGAGTGAGGACATTGCAAGTAAGCAAGTGAAGCTTAACGTTGCCATGGCCATCTGTCGGTATGACCTCGCCAAATGGTAAGACCTTGGTGCGGTCGGGATTGGTTGCAGAGTTAGTTGGTAGCTCAAGCATGTTTGATTGCCATGAGGTGCCCAAGTGTGAAGTAAATAATGCCCATACCCATTCAAGAGATTGAACAAAATACTTCTGTGTGAGCTGCTCCAGGAAGGCATCCCAGTTTTGTAATGGCTTGCCCTGAGCCGCACATCTTGCAAGGGTGTCCACAAGCTCATTCCCCGGGTCACCGCTGTGTCCAGCAACATGAAAGTGCTTACAACTAACCTTCCACCGTTTTTCAATGACTCTGACAAGGCTCCTAATGGCATGGCATGTGATTGGGTCCTGCCTGGCCTGCCACTGACCTTCTGACTGCTTACCCACCGAGAGTGAATCATACAAAAACTCTACCGCAGGTGAGGTTGAAAAAATCTCTGCATTGATTTTCACAAGGTCAAAGACCTGCTTACACGCAATGAGAGAAGCAGTGAGTTCAGCTGTGTAGGATTCAAACTTTGGCTTATGCTGCTGTACTGATAACGCCCCAGCAAACTTCCAGGTTCCATCTTGTAGAACGAAGGCTGCGGTGGCTGACCCAGAGGTTTCAGTCTTAGGTTCAAATGAACCATCGTAATAGACACGGATACACTCAACTGGTCCGTCCCAATCATACCATTCCTGTCTGATCCAGTCAAGGCATTGAGGCAACCAACAAGCCACCGGATCCAGTTGAGCTTCGATGTCATAAGTGGGCAGAGTGAAATGGGTATCAAGCCATTGCAGTGCCTTTTGCGCTGGTTCGAAATCCACTCTGATCTGCTGCGCATGGGTAGCGTCAGAACATCGCGGTGGGCTGGCTGGAGATGCCCGCCCAAATGTCTGAAACATTGCCTGATGGTCCCCTTCTGGTTGGCCTATTGGCGGCTGTCTGTGCCTGCTGACATGGAGCACAAAACTGTAGCCCGTCCAGCAGGGCATTCGTTGACCTGGCAGTAAATGCATCTGTTGGTACCAGACATCACAATGCACCGGTTCCTGCCGATGTCTGCAAAGATCGTCATAATGGACACCATGCACAATTTGTTCAAAGGTCACATGTTCAAGGGTAGTAATGGCAATGCGCATAGGATTTGGTCCCAAGCGGTAATCAGACACTGAGACAAGCGATGTAGACCACTCAATTTTTGGGGCTTGCACAATGATGACATGGGATGTCACTCCGTATTCCATCCTTGGCGGTGCAGGTGACACAACGGAAAGCTCGCTTTCGACATCAGGTTGTATCAAGTCACGCCAAGCTTGTCGGATTTGATGTTCCCACTCCGTAAAATCATTAAACAATCGCACAAGGCGTGGGACATAGCATTTCAGTTGAACTGATCTGTGATCTACAAACCAAACCAGAACATTTGTTGACGGTGATTCATCTTCCCATGAGAACGCATTCGTGATCCAAGATGAGTGCAGAGTTTGCACAAATTCAGACTGCGTCAAAATGTTAGGAACATTGGGTTGATACTCAGGTGCCATCGGGTCAAACTGGAACTCCCCACACGCCTGGGTTTGTCCTTCATTCGTTATTCGATTTGCATGTCTCCACCTACTTGGCCTGCTCGGTTGTGAGGGTGTAGTCCGTTGCATCAATGTGAGGTCTTCAAAATGAAGGTGTTCCGTGGGGTCCTCAGCTCCTTGGGCAGCTTCCGGTGCTGCAACCCTGATCTGGACACTGTCTCCTGACCGCACAGCCAGTGGGACTTCATTATTCATCACTCTACCCATATGTGTAAGCGTACAACTTCGCTGTGCACAAAAGAAACTGATTTCCATAGTTTCAATGATGTGGGGTAGGTCAAGTGGCTGTCCCACCGAGTATGCTCCCTGAGTGATGGCATCGTGCGTAGGTCCCTCAAAAAGGGCACTAAGGACAATGGCTGCACGTGAAGGTTGATGACCCTGCTCCAGAATGATATGACAAGCATGCCTCTGTGAGCGAAACTGTGGCGGCCGTGGCTTGACCACATGTATTGAGAAGGGCAATCTAGGATCCAACAGGTCCATCCAAGCATTCCGAAGTTCTTCAATCCACATGATCGGATGATCACTGAGTTGGATATCCCTCGATCGCAAGCAAGCCGTCCGTCTCAAATGGTGAACAAACCATGTTTTGACTGGCAACAGATTTTCATTGTCCCATGCATTGTAAACTCCATGCAGAGGGAACAGTTCTCCAATCGGCGTGATCCAATCATCTGCTCCATCATGGAAAGGTCTAATGGGACGCCTCGGATTTGCTTCCGGATGGATCACCGGAATACCTCGAGGTTCAGTTGGACCATGTGGGCTAGGTTTGCAGACTTTGGGTTGGATCTCAAGGCTGGTTTGGGTGAAGACTACATTATCCTCAATGAATGGGATAGATGGTACATGTGCATCTGTTGCGACAGCAATTCCTGGAGTCCGAAACTGCTCAGGTGGCAAGTGTGGTGAAGGCAGGTTCATAGCATGATCAGCAGGTTCGTCAAAAGGAGCCAGCTTACAGTCAATCACATGATGTCTGACATCCCCTGACATTTGGAAAAGGCTGAAACTGTCTGCAATCTGGTCAGTAAAGAGGTCAATGTCATGTTCCTCAATGATAACTCCCAAGTGCGCACCTGTTCGCAACAAAAGTATCTCTCCAGGCAAATAAGTCCTACCCTCGAATTGAACATATGAAGGTCTATGTGCATGCTCATCTGGTACAACCAAACGCAGAACTTCCCTAACTGCAACCTGGCAAAGCAAAACATGTGCAAACCTTCTCTGTCGCAAGCTCAAGGCAGCGTTACCCCGTCGTGTGACAATCACTGCACAGCTATCAGTGTTCAAACCCTGAGCAATTAAGACATGGACTTCAGGAGAAGGATGACTAGTACTGGCTAGACAGGCATGCAGAACATGAATATCCATAGGTGTGGCCCGAAGCAGCCGATCTCTCCAAGGAAAGATAAGATCGGTTCTCCAACTCAATGGATCATCATCAAGCTTGACTGGTCGCTGCTGGTTACAGTGAAAATCAGGGTGGGCATTAAGGTACCAAACTTGAACAGTGAGTACAGCACCCTCCTGAAGATCCTCAACGACATGGTGTGAGTCAAAATGCCGATGCAAAATACGAATCCACTCTGGCCGTGTACTCGGAGACATGTCAGGGTTCTGCAGAGCTGGGAATTCGTCTGCTTCAGTTGTGTGTAAGAAATCCGGATCCGGTGGTCGGACGAAAATCTGAGCATTCATAGATCGTTGCAAAGTTTCACGCAATTGGTTGTTGCTCATGGTCAAGAGTTGTGTAATTCCAAGTGCCTCTCCTCTAGTGATCAGGAGCCGGAATGCATGCCCGGTGTGGACATTGACAACACTTTGCTCAGCAATAGGTATCCTACCAAACCAAAGACTGCAATGGTTGCGGAAATCAGGAGGGTTACAATCCGTGCCGAGATGTAACAAATCAATCAATCTCCGCAAAGTGAGTTGGTTTGGGAGAACCAATGCAAATGTGTATGGGGAACGTTCCGCATCAGGGTCAGAGTCGTATACTGAGAGGACTGCCGACCGTTGATTGTCGGCCGGTCTTTGCGTGACGATCAACTGACCCAAAATGCCAACTGCTGCATCCTCAGGCATCGGATCTACTAGGGCAATGTGAACACCGCTAATATCCTCAATTTTGTCATTCCAAGTATCAAGCATAAGTTGGTTCCATCTAAGGAAATTATCAGGCAAGAGGGTAATGCGTGATGTGTGACATCGATGGAAGGTTGCATGGTCTAAAAACCAGCTTTCCACTCGCATCTGCCGGTGGTTCTCAACTGCTCCCACATCATGAAGCTGATCGACCCTCTCCCAAAGTGCTTGAACAAACGCAGGCTGGGCAGCAACAGTGCGTGGATCCGGAGCGAAATCAACTGGCTGGTCCATGCGGGCTGCTTCTTCTCGTGCTGCAATTGCCTCTAAAAAGTCATCAGTAAAACTACAGCTGATGGGCCCTTGTGGTCTGGCAGTCGGGGTCAGTGGCTTCTCGACAAGATCATTCCCAACATACTGTACCTTAGCTGTACGACATTGAAGCAAGTTGGTGACATCTTTCAAAGGTAATGCGTGTTCATCCTCTGAAGGCTCATACGGTTGAACCAAAACTAACATACCTAGCCCCGACCAGGCTTTGAAAGTTTGGTCCACATGTTCAAGCAAAGGATGCTGCCACTGCAGTCGTTGGCTATCAAGATTAGCAAACAAAGGGACCACCGCAGCAATGTCCTGCCTAGAGCAGTGTTTCGGCACAGCAATAGCAAAGCGCACAACTACACTACGTTCTTCGGACGGCTGCGGGACAGCAAAATCCAACGAGAGCAGGGCAGGTACCAAATTCACTTGTCGCTGCGACAAAATGATGTGGGCAACATGTTCCTCAACATCCGATCTGATGACCTGTGGCGCAATAAGGTCAATAAGGATGCCTTCATCAGGAATGATGTGATGTCGCCAAGGATAAATGAGATCCTCTTTCCACTCTGAGGGAAAGCCTCCAAGGAAAGCAATTTTTGGGTTGTCACACATCAAATTTGAACTGTGATCAATGTACCAAGTGTACACGGATACAAGAAAATCATCTGGATCATGGAAATCACAAGTATCCGCAAACCTTCGGACAATCCTTTGAAGGTCCAAAAACCAATCTTCTTCAATACTGGAGTCATTTGAGGTCAGGTCTGATAAGTTGTTTCTGTAGTCTCTTGAAGAACTGGCAGCTTCACCATATTGCATGGCGTGGAAGTGGTCATCCTCAGTCTGATCCGCTTCATCATTTTGGGAAGCTAGTGCCCTAACCTCATCCTCACCAAGCAGTGAAGGAGAATAACCTGAAGCAGCTTCCTGATTGGCCACATCATGGAGTATTTCGTCATCCGAGAATCCTCCTTGTGTCAGTTCTACAATCCGAGTTGTAGCACAGTTGAACCTTTCCGTAGGAGGGAGTGCAATACGGAAATAATCCCCATGGGCAATCTGCCGCCTATTGACATCGGTATCCTGCCAACGTACTCCATCATGCCAGACAAAACAGCGATCATTTTCCCGTTCACAATACACATCAACTCCTGCAAGGACCAAAATGGCACGCCTGTCACACCATTCAGGTGTAGCCAAGACAAAACGCTGTGTGGCAGGTCCTAATGTGAATGCAGCCTCAGTAGAATGTGCATGAAACTCAATGTCAAAAAGGGCTAATCGAGCCAATTGACCAAAGGGAATGTCCGGCAAAAGGTGTACGATGATGGGCACAGCTGCTGGTAACACACCCGGTAGATCAGAGTTGATCTCATACGCATCAACTACATTGAGTGGTGTTGTAGCAAAATGATGAGCAATTTCCGTGATCATACTTTCATAATCAGTCCAGTCCAAAAGTGCCCTCAGGGGAGGATCCCTCAAATGAAACATGATGACTTCCTGCCTGTTCTCCGTGGAGCTAGGAGGTCGGATGCTTGATCCACCAGTAGAGCTTATAGGCTCATCATCAGCTCCTTCCCGACTACTAGAAGAGCTGTCGGAGCCTTCATGCAATTGGTCCAAAGGTGGGACGGTCTGGCCTCCTGCAAAAGCTTCAACCCTTGCCACTTCATGATTCGAATGGGGATCATGCTTGAAACTAGATGTTTGCATAAAAGAGACACCATCCTTCTGAGATATCACCCCCCGGCTCAACACGGCCAAACGTGACAGCGGTGCCTGGAAGGGAGATGGGAAATCAATATTAAACTGAAACCCCTCAATAGCACAATGTGATGGTGAATCATCTTGAATTGATGGGTCATTGAATGCCAAAGTTGATCGAAACTCTGTCTGCTTTTTGATTCGACGTCTACTCCAAGGCTTGTCGGTCCAGTCGCTCAGAAAACAAGAATCAATTTGGAGACAATGCATTTCACTACAGTCATCTAACCCAAGCAACACATCAATTTGGTCCGCAAACTGAACGTGCAACCCTTTGCTTTTCTTTGAATGGGGCCTTTGAGATCGTGTGTAAGGGTCAATATACGGGAAATGCTGTGTCAAAGAACTCCAAGAGAGGTCGTTGTAATCTGCTTTCAAAACTTCCCATTGGAGGCAGAATGCATTCGAGACTGCTTGCAAGGGATCAACAAAGCGTTTTTCATGTATTGCTGAGTGCGTCCAAGTGAGGAAAGGCTGATAATAACTGTCCGTGCTGGCACATGCTGCATCAGAAGCTGCAAAAGAGAACCAATAGGCATCAGTGCTAGCACCTGTAATGGACACATCATTGGCCTCATGCCAGGGATTGCATTCAACTCCCAGAGCACGGCCACTATTCACGAGGAGGGTTTGCCACCAAATGGCTCCAAAGAGCGCTGCCTTTTGGGTGGCTTGTCTCCATCCACAGCCTCTACTTCTTCCACCACTTCGACTGCCTTGGGTGGTTCGATATCGAGTCCCAGAGATCCAGCGCAATTTCTCAGAACAGCTTGAAGGTTTGTCCTCAAAGTCTCTTCCTCCTTGTCGGCTGCATCCTCCGTATGCTCCTCCACCTCTGCTGTAACAACAGTCAATGGGGGAGGTGCCGAAGTGCCTCCGGCTGTATGACTGAGCTGCTGTATGATCCTGCTGGTTGCAGTGATTTCCTGGCGAGCTTTGCTCGCTTGTTCTGTGAGAAATGCTTGATGTTTTCGAAATTCGTCTAATTGTTGCTCCCAAATCTGAATGCCTGCTGCCATGTGCTTCATCCATAGGGCTCGGTGGGCCCTTCTGTGGTCGGAGACCTCGCTTAGATGGTCCTTTACCTTCCCAAGGTAGGTGGTTGCTTGATGTAAATTTTTTATTCCTTTCCTTCCATGGGTTTTCTCGGCTTTTTCCACCAGAAGCTTGGTCTCTTCCGGCATCAACGCCGGATCTGGATATGCTCTCTTTAGTGCCTCGACCCACTCTTGATCTTGTGCAACCAAAGAAGAGCTGGCCGCCGCAAACGGGTTGGGCGAGAGAGTAGTTGATGGAGTGAAAGCAGATGTGTCCAAAGTTGTCCATGGGGCGAAGCTCTTCGGCTCTGCCTGGAAGGGCGACATTTGGTCGTTCTGCTTGCTCTGGCTTTTCCCTTGCTTCCCTTTCTTCCCCTTCGAGTTGCCTTTGGCCTTCGTTGGCATCTGAGAAGAAGAAGGATAGGTTGCATAAGCCTGATCCGTCGCACCAAAATGGTGTCTGCTGGAGGCTCGGCTGGAAGAACGAGATCTGTCCTCTTCCCATTTTTCCCAGTCGTCCCATCCATAAGTGCTCCATCCATAACTCTCTTGTTTTTTGGTCTTCGGTTGTGTAGGATGCCTTGTACCCTGTGTCCATGGGGCAAAGCAAATTGCACATTCGGTATGCCACTTCTTGTTTATGCGCCCGCACACACACTTCCAAGGGTAATAATCCTGGTTGCTGTCTCCAGAAAAATTCATGTCCATGGCTCTGGTGATGTGGGAAATAAAATGTGAATCTCGACTGTGATGCTGTGCAAGAACTTTGCGTATCCTCGCCAGCGCAATTCTGTCCAGTGCGATGAAACCCTTTCGATGCAGGAACCAATGCCTGCGGGCCTTCGCCCTGTCGCGCCTCGCCTTGCGGCGAGTAGTGTTCTTGGAGGACAATATCCTGTGCAAAATTGAATACAATGAACGAAAATGTCAAAGAAACCAAATTGTACATATAGCAAAGTCCAATACGGCCCAGCGAGTCCAAACCAGAGAAAGCAGAGCAGGAAAGTCACTGCAATGCTATTTCTCAATGGGAGGAGAACTGGATATTCCAAGTGATGCGCTCACTTGCAGAAGCGAAAACCAGGCTGAACTGAATGAACCCAGGTGATTCGCTCACCTGCAGAGGCGTAGGAAATGATGAGAGTGGAGGCACTCAGTAAACCACTGAAAAAATACCAGGCAGTCCACACCAAATCCAATAAATTTGTGGTTGGCCAATTCAATGGCAGCAACCACACCCAGGTTGTAAGAGCTGGGACTCTAAAACCAGATGAAAAAATTTACGGTTGGCCAATAAGGCAGCAAACGCACCCAGATGTAGAGCTGGGACTCGAGGCAAAATTCAAAATAGTACCAAATTGTATGGCCCGTGGGTTACAATGTCAACGAAGAACCCACTCAGGCAAATTGCGCCAACCCCAAACAGCGAACCGCGTAAGCCGAGGGGGGGTTTCAGCCAAAATGCCTTCTTGAGCCAAAATGGCTACGGTAGAACCAGATCATGTTTAAAAAAAAACAGAACACGTAGACATACAATCTGTCAACCGGGGCACGCGACATGCAATCTTTTAACGGAAGAAAACCCAAAGCTATTTTTGTGAATGTTCTGAATTATGACTAATTCGTGTCACCCTGGAAGAATCATGTCCATCCTCCAACACATCAGGATTCGTGGTTGTGGGTCAAAACACTGGCGCGCTGCGTTTCACATCATGACAGCTAGGCTTTGGTGGATGTTCATCCCGGAATAACTGGACCAAAGTTTCAAGCTAGGACTTGTATAAATCTGTAAATTTCATGCATTTCAAGTATACGCTTAAGATATTATTTTTTTTCAAACACTGATCCAGATACCCTCTGGTAATTTAACGTAGCTATTGAAAATGACCATTTATAGTGGATTTTCCCATTAAAAATGGTGATTTTCAATAGCTATGTTAAATTACCAGAGGGTAATATGGTATCAACGGTTTTGAGACATCCCCATCTTTACGGAACCCCACTCTCCCATACTCTTCCCACCCCAGGCGGTCCTATGATGTCTACTGAAATGATACCAAAGGTCATAACGGTCAAGAACATCATCAAACAACAAGCCTTGAAGTGCCAAGATCAGGCCGGAAAAAATACATATGGACCTTCCCACCTTCCCATCCAGGACCCTCCCCCATTCCTTTGAATGAAAATGTCATGTTAATCGCATTTGAAAAGAGCCGCCCCACACCATCTTGACTTGGACTTCATTTCGAGGTCCAACTCATGCCAACCACAGTTGGTACTTGCTACGTGAGGAAACTTGTGGTACTTCCAAGTGACCAAAAGGGTGGGGATTGTTCCAAGAACGCCAGTCAAGAGCATGCGAAAGCTCCTCAGGTCTCTGCGGACTCTCTCTGGGGTTCAGCCCTTCATGTCCCGAACCCAACATGATCCGTAGATGTTGCTTCAAACCATGCTGGCGCAAAGTGTGGCTTCTAGGCTGTCTATTCTACCGCACTAGTTAAAAAAAACCACCGCCTCCTGGTGACAACATTGGCTAAACTGGTGCTTCAACTGTTGCTTTTCACCATGGGACTCCAATTGCTATCGCCAGGTCTCTGGAAATGTCGCAGCACCTTGAAACTGCGCAGGCTCCGCATGGCACGAATCGCGCGGATGGCCTGCGCCATCCGTGAAAAGCAGCTGATGCCCTGCTGAGATGATCCCCAAAGATGATACCCATCCTGCCAACCCCCACCCACAAAAAAAAACTTACCCTCTGGTAAACTAACATAGCCATGGAAAATGGCCCATTTATAGATGGTTTACCTATTAAAAATGGTGATTTTCCATGGCTATGTTAAATAACCAGATGGTACAATTTCAGAGATCATCCCACTTTGTTGTGCAGTTCTTCCATGTTGTTCCACGTCGTTCGACCCCAGCCCTCTCTGCCTGCAGTGCTGCCAACCCCTCTTGGTTCAGCAGCACTGGTGCGACCCAAAGCAGGAAAACACCAACGACCTGTGCCGCAATGCCAAGCTGGAGAATTCCAAGTGGTTACCCACTGGAAAAATGGCTGGAAAGATGCTGACGACATAAGGGGATAGGCTACAACTGCCAGGCATCCAGCTTAGCAGGCGAATTCTACTGGCGCTTGCGGGTACATCTTGTTTGTTTTGATCTTTGCACCACCCCGATGGCAGGATCTCAAGAATGAAACACTTGGGATCCACATACATGTCTAACTAAGTGCAGCCGGTCTCCTTCTTGAAGCTACACCTTTCCACTTTCTGGAACTGGCGCAGTGCCTCCACCCTGCCCAAAACTATGGTGAAAAATGCATAAAAATGCGACATCAAGATCATCAAGCGACCCACACTATGAAAGTATCCAGCATATTGGCCATGACCGTCTCTGGCGTCGTAAAGTACGACCCGCCATGTGCGGTGACGCACAAAAGCCACTCCTCGGCCAGGCAGCCAAACATCGCTTGCGCAGAGAAACACGAAGTGGACATATGTATTGCTTGTCATACATAGATACCCGTGTTCCAAATATAACTCCATGAAATAACTCCGTGAAAAATTATATGTGATTCGATATGTCATATAGATACATGCATCCAGTCATCCATGATGTCTGCGTCTACATCTCAACTGTCAAGTCGTTCTCCTTATTTGGCCATGAATACGAGGAGATAAAAATAGATAAAATGTCCAGTGGATCAGGTTCAAAATTATTGGACTTCCAAAAGCGATGTTGATACAAAGAAAATGTACCCTCTGGTAAACTAACATAGCTATTGAAAATTGCAATTTATAGTGAGTTTTCCCATTAAAAATGGTGATTTTCCATAGTTATGTTAGTTTCCCAGAGGGTACAGTACCCCAGCATTGACCATGCCCGATCCTTGTCCCCGAAAAAAATCGAGCCAAATCCCCCGGCCCACCACCGCCCAGTTGCCAGCAAAAAAGTGGCGGTAAAGAAGTTCTTAGTGTCACCAAGTGGGGATGACTGAACGGAACATGGTGGAAAGTAGCCACTTTCGAGTCAAATCAGTGGCGGATTTGACAGGAATACCGCTGAGACATGTTAACACTGATGGGTTAAGCGGTTAAGCAAAAAGTGTGGGTTCAGCAAGAAACTTCGCGGATTTGACGCGCAGAATGTAGAATGTATGGCAAACTACCACCATACAGCTGCTACTGAGTTTCTGGGATGTCACTATGTACATTGAATGAAAATAAAATGAATGATGATGCCCTGGTCACTAGTTGAAATCAGTCACCAATTCTGACCAGCAATTCACCATGTGTGCCGCCGACCCTGGGGAGTCATGTGTTTGCCCAGATTTGGTTCTTCCCCAGCTAAAGGTGCGAAATGGCTTCCAATGATTAAAGGACACTGAACCCTACTTCCAAGTCCCCATCTTTCCAAGTCCTCATCCTACTTTGCCAGGCGAGGTTTGAACCGATAACCCCAAACGCACCCTGGCTATCCAAGCCACATCAAAGGTGGATAGCATAGCGGTGGTGTAGGTGCCACAGCCGCCGTTGCCTCGGCTGTTTCGCACAGCCCCCCGAAGCTCCAGATCATCAGCCACAATGGGGCACCCAACATTGCACTTTACATTGCGAAAATGATGATGAAGCATGAGATTTTGGGGTCGGGTACCTGACTTTCAGGCCGAAGCTTGTAGCAAATATGCAGTATGCACCCATACAAAGTGCTAATTGTTCTTGTTGATATGAGCGTATCTCACTGGCAACTTCGCCACTTTGAACCTTCTGGGGCATGCCTTTCATCTGGGGAAGTTGCTCTCACGGAATTGGAACAGCTGATCCGGCTACGCAGTCATGCAGGGACTTTGTGATATCAGTTGCTTGGGCGAACTCCGTGCTTAGAGACCTTGGAATCCAATGGTTTCAGACCATCATATCACAGCCACCGGAACCGCCGGCCAGGGGACAGTTGGCTTGAACACCTAGGAAAGCCAGGTTGGCGATAACCAAGAAGCAACTTGTGGCCCTCGGCTGCAGCTCGGATAGCAGCTGACCGGCACACAAAGTCCATTGGTCCCCAGTTCTGGTAATGTTTTAAGCCCAGGATTGGATGGATAATGATTGCAAGAAGATGTTGCGATGGCAAAAATGGTCGATGGTAAAATCCAAGAAGTATTCCTGCAAATGTTCCTTCAGACTAATCCATTGATAACAAGGATAGAATCAACCCGTTTACCAACCGAACCCAAGGTTGACCCACTTGCAGGGGCGGGACTGTCAAGAAACTCAAAGCCATTGCTGACCACCACGGTATGCAGCCTTGTGGGAGCACAAACACGGTTTCCAAGTGGGGGCATCCATGAAAGTTATATTTATATACATATATACATACACACACAGATATATGTATATATATATATATATACATACTCACTCATACACATATGCATATACACATACACACGCATACATAAATCAAATGATATGTGTATATATAGGTAGATAGGAGTGTCAGCAATGTGTCAGCAGCCAAGGGTATCAACGATCTGCTTCATTCTCCAGTTTCTGGAGTCTCATTTTTTTTTGGGAATGAAGTCCCCCAACGTCCATCCAAGTTCCAGCCCAACTCCCGAACCAGGGGACTTCTCTCTCCAGGTCTTTCGCGGTAGGTCCTGGGGAATCATGGAACTGGCAAGGTTGGAGTTCATTGGAGTGGGGCCCTAACTAGGTGAGGTTGGGTGAGTCTGTGGATGCTTCTGATGCTTCTGATGCTTCTGATACAATGGTGCCGAAATATTCCAGAAATCGATTCTTTGACACTTGATTGCTGGTCATTCATGATGTATCTCAAGACTCAAGACTGAAGGCAGGTCCATATGCACAGGGCGTATATAGGAAACCAAGAGTGTTTATTCCAAGAAAGCAGATGGCATGAAGCAAGTCTGCATCACCAAATGCTGATGGCACGGCGAGCAAATGGGATTTTGTGGCTTGTCAAAATGGCCTGGCCCATGCATCGCACCACAGCACCAGAAGATATATTGCAAAGCAACCGAGTATCAGAAGACACATTGAGAATCAATAAACAGCAAGAAGGCCTTTACCTTTAATGCATGTGTGCGCATGCATGCCTATTTATTTATCTATATGATCTGAGATCTGATCTGAGATATGATCTGATCTGATCTACCTATCGATCATGTTCCTCTTCGATTATGGATGGTTTCGGGTTTTCTAACGCAGACTCCAGCGGTCCTGAGCCTCTGCCTGAGGAGCATTCTCCTCGTCATCGCTGTCAGGGATCTCTACGTCCACCTGGGCAAAGGACTGTGACTTCAGTAAGCCCCATGGTTTGGGTTTGATCATTATACAAGATAAACTTAATTCTATGGTTACATTAGTATTAACTTGTTGTGTCTATATTTGTGTATGTAAATATATATATATATATATGTATATATGTATGCATGTATGTATGCATGTATGTATGTAATGTATGTAATGTATGTAATGTATGTAATGTATGTAATGTATGTAATGTATGTAATGGTATGTGATGGTATGGTATGGTATGGTATGGTATTGTATGGTATTGTATGTATGTTATGTATGTTATGTATGGTATGTATGTTATGTATGTTATGTATGTTATGTATGTTATGTATGGTATGTATGTTATGTATGTAATGTATGTAATGTATGTTATGTATGTTATGTATGTTATGTACGTTATGTATGTTATGTATGTTGTGTATGTTATGTATGTTATGTATGTTATGTACGTTATGTATGTTATGCATGTAATGTATGGTATGGTATGGTATGGTATGGTATTGTATGCATGTATGTATGTATGCATGTATGTATGTATTGTATGTAATGTAATGGTACGTAATGGTATGAAATGGTATGTAGTGGTATGTAATGGTATGTAATAGCATGTAATGGTATGTAATGGTATGTAATGGTATGTAATGTAATGTAATGCAATGCAATGTAAATGGAAGTAATGTAATTGTAAGTAATGTAAATGTAAGTAATGTATGTAATGTATGTAATGTATGTAATGTAATGTCATGTCATGTCATGTCATGTAATGTAACGTCATGTCATGTAATGCATGTATGTATGTATGTATGTACGTATGTAGGTATGTATGTACGTACGTACGTATGTATTATGTAGGTAGGTATGTAGGTGGGTAGGTAGGTATGTATGTATGCATGCATGTATGCATGTATGCATGTATGCATGTATGCATGTGTGCATATGGCAACTGTGTGTAACTCCGTGTAACTCCGTGTGTAACTCTGTGTGTACCTCTGTGTGTAACTCTGTGCGTAACTCTGTGCGTAACTCTGTGTGTAACTCTGTGTGTAACTCTGTGTGTAGCTCTGTGTGTAACTCTGTGTGTAACTCTGTGTGTAACTCTGCGTGTAACTCTGCGTAAAACTCTGTGTGCAACTCTGTGTGTAACTCTGTGTGTAACAGTGTGTGTAACAGTGTGTGTAACTGTGTGTGTAACTGTGTGTATAACTGTGTGTAACTGTGTGTGTGTGCAACTGTGTGTAACTGTGTGTGTTGCTGTTGGTGCCATTGTTGTTCATCATCATCATCATCATCATCATCATGATGCTGCTGCTGCTGCTGCTGCTGCTAGCCTTGCTCCTGCCGTAGCCCACCAACAGAGCCCGAAAGTATAGCCACTAGTCTTGTACAGGATCTAAGACCAAGAACGGAAGTGACAATCATGTTTGGAACCAATACAACCTCAAATGTTCAAGTCCTTCTTTGCCTCAAAGTGCCCAGCCCAAAAATCCCTACCCGCGCCAAAGGGCATTGTACGGTTGCGCCAAAGGGCATTGTACGGTTGCGCCAGCCACTTGCCAAAGTCTGAGATCCTTGGAGCAATGATGGCCACTACCAAGGCTTCAACCCCGGCCGCAGCTTCGCAGTTCAGAATGCTGTGGTGATATGAAATGGTTAAAACAGTTGCTGTATAGAGCTGGATCTTCATCTCACCGTGACCCATCGGAATTCTAAGGCGAAACGTGCCTCCAATCCCAGCAATGAAGTGCTTCTGTCCAATCACCAAGGTTTGGTATATTTGGTGCAAATTTTCCGAAATTTCGTTTCGGGAGCAAGAGATCCTTAAATTTGATGATAAAAACCTGGGTTTCCTGCAGTGTTTCCCTTGAAAAAAATATTGAGAATCCATACGAGCCCACTCAAAAGTCATGACAATCAATAGAGAATCATCGAAAACCATTGAAAATTATACAATGTGGATAAAACAAAAATAAACCACCCATTTGGGAATGGTTTACACCACCTATTGATGTTGCAAATTCATTGTTCGTTGAAAAGTCCAAGGTCCAAGGTTCAGCTCTTTCAAAATGGCCAGGTGCCGTGGAAGCTTCGACTTCTTCGGCTCCACATCTTGCGTCCTTGGCCCATGGAAGGTTTTCTGGTGCCTATCCCAAACGAGAAACACGGGATTGAGGCAGGAAACCCAATGCTATAAACCTATCCTATATAAACCTGCCATTTGGGGATGGTTTTTGTCTGCGCCCTCCATGCGGATGGGTTTTTTCCACCTGATTAATATGAATTTAATTCCTTGAGGGCTTGGAAATGGCCCTCGTTAACGATCAAGAGATGTGAGCGTTGTGCTCCAATCGTTACTCCAACGGACACCCACTTGGAGGATGTTTTGGAGCGCAATCGTCACTCAAAATCCTCATTTCGAGAGGTGGGAAAACCTTCAATTTTCTCCAGACTTGGTTCACGGAAACATTTGCAGTTGGTTCACAGAAACATTTGCAGGAAACTTGCACATTTGGTGGCAAGAATTCATACTTTCCTACAAAATTGTCCCATCCATCCATTGATTTTCAGTGCTTTGGGTCTCCCTATCTGCTTCCTGACAGAAGTATCATCTCTACCAATCATTCGAGGTGATGTTCGAAGACCCTTCAATTCCCTCCGCAAAAAAAAATATATATCCCAATCCCTCACAGCACAAAAGAACTGATACAAATTCCTTGGCACCACAGTAACACCCAATGGGTTTTTGTCCATCATTTTCCCCCCCATCAAAGTCATCAAAGTCATCACAGCCAAAATTCATTGACAAAATTGTCCCTCCCCAAGCCATCCAAGCCATCCACAACCAGGGAATCTACCAGGAATCATTAAAAAATTGGGGGATTGTCCCAGGCCACGGCACTTGGACATCACCGTCTTCAGGCGATCCACCCGCTGGGTCTGCCGCTGGGTCCGGCGCACGGCCTCGGCATCGTCGGGCTGAATGGAGCCATCCATGGCACCTGGGCACGAGCCGGTGAAGCTGACCCAAAAACTGGGGGATTGAACCAACAATAAAAAAGAAATTCCGTTGATTTAACCAACAAAAATGAAATTTTACAGAATTTCCCTAAGGAAAAGGATTTCCATTTCCCCAACAAAAATGGAGATTTTACTATAACGCCGCCAAACAAACATGGAGATTTCCTGTCCACAAAATGGGATCGGTGTAGAAAGCCAGAAATCACATCCAGCTAATACAACATTGCATTGCACAGCTTACATCGGTAAAGTCCCTGGCCAGAATGGCAAAACTGAAGTAGATGCCAATAATCCAGTATCAGCCGCGAGCGATGAAGGAGGGGTCCTCCCCACCCTGCTTGCTGCCTTCCCAGTCCCACCTGCCAAGCAGGCGTAGCCTGGACAGCCTTTGTGTTAGCGACGCATGGCGAGAAACGAAGGCTTCGAAAACTCTAAGATCACCTCCATGTATGCCCTGGCGATTCTTTCCTTTTTCTTCGACGGACAAGGCTTGTCTCGGAGTCTCCGAGATAGTGAACTCGCATGTGCCAGCCTACTGTTCAGCTATGTTTGCGCTGTTTTAATAAGAGTGGCTGAAAACGTGGAAAACAATGAAAACACTTCGTCTAAACTTGATTGGCACTTCATTTGAGCCGAATGCGGCAAAGTTCTTCGAGTCACCTTCCGAAACGCCTTGAAATGGATTGCCATCCAAACTTGGAAGGTTCACTGGGGAGCAACAGCCAGATTTGGATGCCACGCGCTCATCTCAAAACTTGCTGGTGCCTGAAACCCATCCAAACGCTGGCTTCAAACCGTCCCTAGCACCACAAGGTGTGCGAGTGGCTCAGACTGCGAGTTTTTGTTTAATTTCAAAGCCATTTGAGCATGGTTGTGGTAGCAAAAAGGCTGGAGGTGGCAGCAAAAAGATACCAGGGGCCCACAACAGCCAACGCCATGAAAAGCCAGCAGCCTTCTTCGAAGGTTGCCGAGCTGCCACCCGGTCACGCCATCAATCCGAATTTGACATTAAAGGATTTTCCATCCCAAGCGGGGCCAGTGGGGTTGCATATGTTCCAAATATAGAATGTGTAACATGTATGCATGTATATATATATATATACATATTCAATAATTAAATATGTATATATATATACATATAATATACAACAAGAGTTGATTGGATGCTCTTGATACTTGATGCACTCGAAGTCAGCAAGCAAACGAAATGAGAAGTGAAGCAGTGCCTTACGCCACAACGACCAGCACCTTTTCACACATGGCGTAGCTCAGAGTCTCGCGTGATCCCGCCCACTTCGGGCATGAAAGGCCAACAGCATGAACTCATCTCAAACCGTCGACCCAAGGATGGATTCTGGCCACATGTCTCAGGTAAGTGTTGGATTACACTTCACACAGAGGAAAAAGGGTAAAGAAATTTCATGTGGCCTCTTGCGCTTCATCTTGCATATCCAGTTCTCCAGTCGTTTGTTCAACCAAGTGTCCCCAGCAGTAAGAACACAAGCCTTCCTTTGAAAGAATCTCTTGGCTCCCTTGCAGGGTGTGACATTCTCGGAACAAATGAGCCTTTTGGCCTCGTGGAGTAAAATGATACACTCCAGCTTGCAATCTCAGCAGCTGGCGATCCCATTGCAAAGCATCTCTCCTAGCATGACCAACTCGTCGGTCAAAATCATGAATCAATCGCTCGTTTTCTTCAATCTGAACTTGGAGTCTTTCACGAGCATCTGCTAGCTGTTCTTTCAGATCCTTGATCTGATTTCGGCACGTTGCGATGATGCTATTAGACATCTTGCGCTGAACAAGCACATCATGAAACCATGCAAGTGCAGACTTGTACATGACATACATCAAAAACACGAAGCCTACAACAATTGCAATGGCGGTTACAATGAGGGCAAAGTCAAACGCATAGCTATTGTCCAACATGTCACCATCGTCAGAAGTAGCAGCAGTTTTGGAGACATGATCTAGCGCAATGACACTGGCGATTCTTGAAGCAACACTGCTTGAATAACCAAAAGTCTTTGCAGCTGATGTCTGTCGTTCGGTCTTGGTCTTTTTCTTGGATGCTTTGAAGGAATCATCTTGTACAAGACAAAGCAGGCCACTCTTCAACATGTCATACATGTTCTGGCGGGCTGTGATCTTCGTCTTCCCGTCAGCGAGCATTCGTTCACTACTCACCCATCTCAACCATGTTTTCAACCTTTGGATTTCTTCTTTGATGCACAAGATTTCTATGCCGGCGCGTTTGTCGGCGGCACTTCCAATCCCATCTTTCTTCAGGCTGTCATACAAGGCTTTTGCATCAATGATGATTGCAGATTCACCGCAGTCAGCAGCAGTTTGTGGTAAAAGAGGATCTTTGTTCGGGTCAAGCATCAATGCCACCATTGTCTTGATCATCATCAGCTCATCCAATGCAGTTGCACAAGCCTGGCTCTCCGCGCTCAAACTTGAGCGGCAAACACGGTTGAGTTTGAAGGAACGCCAGCTTAACAAATTGTATGCAACCTGTTCACCTTTCAGAGCTTTCTTGGATGTCAAAACAATCACATACCCTCCTTGTGAGCTCCCATCGCTCCTCACATTGAAAGCCGCATCAGAAAAGCAGAGAAAACACAAATCATCAATGCCTTCACACACTGGAGTCATGTTGATCTTGAAGTCACCGCAGGATTTTCCAAAACGAAGGGTTTTGTTGAGCTCCAGAACCAACTCCACAGTAGCCTTGTTGATGTTGGCAGCATTCAGGGATGTGGATGCACTCAAATAGGGGCATCCCTGACCGGCTGGCCACTGCAGTGCGCCAATCAGGGCACGTGCTTTGGACACCTCAGCTGGTGTCAAGACATCACCGTGGCCTCGACCTTTATGGATCGTAATGGGCATCACCTTCTTGATGTAACTCTCAAAATCCAAGGAAATATTGGAGTCCTTGCGGCTGATGCGCCCACCACAGTAAATGATGTCTTGCTTGTCAGTTAGCTCCTGCCACTTGCCAAAATCAAAAGCGCCCTTGATCTCATCCACTTTCTGCACTGCCTCGGCATCACGCATGTCAATTCCCAAAAGGATATCATCAACATGAAGAATAAGAAGACCAACCAGTTTCTGATTCTCCTTGCCATAGTTGCTGTAGATCATGTATGCGCATTTATCCAGTCTGTGCCGCACCAGCTTCAGCGATCTCAGCCTTCGGTCAGCCTCAGTCCACCACAGCAGTGGTGCATCGCTGAGCCCATATGCTGATTTCTTCATCTTCATGAAAGTTGGTCCGACACAGCCGAGCATCGCACTGCAGTCACTTGGCAATTTGACAATGATGATGCGATCAAACGTAGAACCTGACAAAAACGCCGCACGAACATCACCGCAGAAGACTGTCCACCCGAGAATCGGGGACAGTGCCAAGACAAGCATCTTGCTGTTCTTGTTGGCTGTGGGTGATGTCTTGTTCAGGTCAAAGACATCGGGGTCTTCATAGCCCCTCAGGACTAGGCGTGCCTTGGCACGGCGTTGGAGAGATCCTTCTTCAGGAGGCTTCCAGGTGAGAACCCACCTGGCTGTCACCATTCGATCTCGATGTTGCTTGCCAAGCTCAGCAAACTCCCAGACATGATTTGAAAAGAAAGATTGAAGCTCTTTCTGTTTCGCTTGAATCATGAGCTCCTTCTCTTCCAAGGACATGTCTCGTTCTCGAGCTTCTGATTTTCGGTGACCAAGATTCGCAATGAAGGCCTCGTCCAACTCAAATTCTCCATTGACCAGGCACCAATCATCTGGCAGGATCTTTCCTTCCACTTCAGCAATGTAGGCATCATCAATGACAAGCCAGTCCTTGTCATCATCAGGAATGGGGATGTTGTTGCCAGTCTTTGGTCTCTTTGCTTCGGGTGGTTCATCAGCGCCACCGCCATCTTCATGAGTTCGCTTGTGTTCTTCTTCTTCAGGTGGTGGACATTCAGGAACATCTGTTGATGGTGAACCATCAGTTCTCGCTGACATAGGAAGATTCCCTTGTTGCCGATGAAAAAGAAGAGCACCAGGCAAATCGCCATCTCGATTCTCACGGTCATCGATTGGCTCAGATGGCTCATATCCATCACTCATTTCAAATGGATCAGCCAAATCTTCAAGTTCGGCTTCGCCTTGTGGACTGACAACGTCACGGAATTGAGTAGTGCTCCTTGCTTGAAGTGCCTTGAGGTCAGCCAAGGCAGCATGTGGATCAACTGGGCGTTCTATGCCAGCATCTGAAACCATAGGCCTCACCTGATGAGGAGCACATCGTTTCCTGGAAGTTCCATGACACAGCCACAAAATCAGGGGCTTCCCTTCTTCATCGCATTCTTCAGCAACGCATCTTGCCGGACCACGCCACTTGTTCTTCTGAAGGATTCCAGTTCTTTGAATTCTCCAGTAAAAGCATAGCTGTCCAACAGAGATTCGCTGCTTGACTTTGCTGTAGTTTTGCAACATCGCCCTCCTCAATCTCGCATCTGAATCAGCCTTGATAAAGGCCATTTGTGCTGACAGACGCTTGGACTGAACTTGGTTGAAGTCCAAGGGATCATTCATTGGAGAGAGAGCTGGGTTGAAGATGCTGGAGGTCAGGCTGAAGGAGTCGGAAGTAGAGCGACCAAGCACCCACTGAGCTGGAGTGAAGCCTCGGGTGTAGCTCAGTGCATTGATCTGCCCTGGGCAGTAGATCGCTGCCTCCAGGAGTGTCTTCTTGTCCCTCTTGCCACGATCTGCCATGTAGAGCTCCAAGCTTCTCCGAACCACTTGATGCTTTCTCTCAATTGATCCAATCCAATTGTGAGCTTCAGCTGGGGAGATTTCAAGCACCATGTTATGTTCTGAACACCATTCACGGAGGTGGTTTGCAGCCCATCCCTTGCCCTCGTCAATGCGCAGATACTTGGGTGTCGAAAAGTGTTTGATCCAGCCACGTTCAATGCCCTTCACAA